CACACACACACACACACACACACACACACACACACACACACGGGCCCCTGGCATCTCCCCGCCAGGCGGGACTCAGGGTTTGGACCGGCCCACCCGGGACGTGTGGAGCCCTGCGGTACTACAGGAGCTCCCTGCGGTGTGGCCCGAGCTGGGCCACTGGGGGCCACTCTGCGAGGGCAGGGGAGAAAGAACGAGGTTCCTGCTGGTGTAATACAAAGAATTAATGAGCAGGTCAGATAAGCCAAGTGCTTAGTACTGAAGTGCACTCCGCTGCAGAGTGATTCATGAACGGTCTCTAAGTGGGAAAGAAAACCAGATGTCCTCAGAGGCCGCAGGGACGTCCACTGGGGAATATTCTCTTTATTATCGTTGGAGCATTGCCGTAAGAAGAATGGGGCTACACATTGGAGACGTCTTTACATTGGATGCGAGGGGGTCTTTACATGCAGGGGATGCTGCAACCAACCCCAGGAGCGCTCCCCGCAGCTCCCGGCCGGCTCAGCCCCACGCTGGCCGGGAGAAGTGGTTTCGACTCCAGCTCCAACGCTTCGGTCCAGACCCACCATGAACTGCCCTTTCCCTAAAGCAGCTTCTCTACTGGGCCCTATTAGGTTGACTGCCAGAATCGAATGCCTATGTGAACAGCCCGGCTCGGCTCACTTCACTTTCAAATCTCTATTGGTGGACCCAGAGTTACTGCAGAGACGCTGGTCCTGCCTGGTCTCCATGGCCAGCTCCTGGACATTTCCCGGTTTCTGGCTCTTTGCCTCCGGCACCGGCAGGTTGTGTAAGGAGCTCACACTTGGACAAATGTTACCGACCACTTGCCAAATTCTGGCTACATGACTCCCCCGTGTGCTAGGGCTACTGAGCAGTAGCCTCGTCCCACCTCACTGTCCCATGCCAGCTTCAGAAAGAAAGTGACTGAGATAGTGTAAGTGAGGACAAGGGCTCCCAGCCAGGGTGTGAGTCCTGGCTCCACCGGTCACTCTCCTGGGGCCTCTGGGATTCAGTTCCCTCATGGGTGAAATGGGATGGTGACTGTCCCCGGGAATTCTAACCAGGCGTATACGAATATGGAACAAACTATATTCGCGATGCTCCCACTTTTCATCCATTTTCCTTCATTACATGAAATACTTTTCTTTATTACACGCAGCACTAGCACACACACCTTTGTACGTGTCTCCTTGTAACACCTGCTGGGGTTTCCCAAACAACTGCTGGAGAACGGGCACATCTTCACCTTCATCGGGAGTCACGGAGCTGCCGTGGATGAGTTCCCGCTTCCTCACTGTGTCACTAGGCATCATGTCATGAGACATTTGTTTTTACCTGTTAGGACTATGTTATCTTTTCCCTTTGCGTCTGCGAGTTCTGAGACCTTCTTAAAATGACTTGTCTGTCTCTCTCTCTCAAAAATAAACATTTAAAAAAATTAAAATGACTTGTAAAGAACATTAAAAAAAACTCTAAGATGATCTTTTAATGATTACCTTGGTCCCCCAAGTCAGCTGTTGTCTAATCTCTGGCCTGGAAGGACATCATTTGTGAGTGTGTGCGCACACTCCTTCACGTCAGACATTGTGTAATTCAAGTCTTCTGCCACAGCCCTTGTTTTCAGGCCAATCAGGCTGACACACACTACATAAAGTTGAAAGAAAGGAAGGAAGGAAGGAAGGAAGGAAGGAAGGAAGGAAGGAAGGAAGGAAGAAAGAAAGAAGAAAGAAAGAAAGAAAGAAAGAAAGAAAGAAAGAAAGAGAAAGAAAGAAAGAAAGGAGGGAAAGAAAGAAAGAAAGAAAGAAAGAAAGAAAGAAAGAGAAAGAAAGAAAAAAAGGAGGGAGGGAGAGAAAGAAAAAAAGAAGGGAGGGAGGGAGGGAAAGAAAGAAAGAAAGAAAGAAAGAAAGAAAGAAAGAAAGAAAGAAAGAAAGAGGAGGGAAGGAGGGAAAGAAAGAAAGGAAAGAAAGAAAGAAGGGAGGGAGGGAGGGAGGGAAGGAAAGAAAGAAAAAAGAAAGAAAGAAAGAAAAAGAAAGAAAGAAAGGAAGAAAGAGAAAAGGAAGGAAAGAAAGAGACAGAAAGAGAAAGAAAAGAGAAGAAAAAAGAACAGAAAAAAAGAAAAAAGAATTAGTTTGGGGATTATATGAAACCCTTCTGACTAACAGTAAGTACAACCCACTCAGGTTATATGTGTACGTGTTAATATTACCTAAATTCATACAGAACTACAAGAATTCAAGGCAGTGCTTGAAACTGATGACTCTCTTCTTTTACTCAGGATGCTTGGCCGCTGCGGCTTCTTTCTGGAAATCAAATTTCTTCCGCTTCTCATGGGAGATTCTGCTCTCCAGATGCTGCTGTAAAAATTCCAAAGAGAGGGAATAATTTGATTGTGTTAGAGAATTAACTCTGTTTTTGTTGCTCTTGTGGGCAGAGGCCTTCATGCCCAACTGACTGGAGAGAGCGCCACCGACCAGCTCAGGGGCAGGTAGTGTCTCCTCTTGGATCAAGCAGTGGGCACCCTAAGCACAGAAAGGGAGGGCTGGGGCTTCTTCCCTGGAAGGCAGAGGGCAGCAGCTTCCCTCCACCCAGATATGAGGGTAGCGGTCACTGCCATGTGCAGTCCTCCACAGCGATCACACGATCGAATTTCTCTGAAGGCAGGTAGAAACTACGTGGCGTTCGTGTGCTCCTGGATTTCTTATTAGAGGAACAAAAGGAAGTTATCACTCCATAAATCAAAGATCTGTTTCCTGTCAAGGAAATGGCTTGACAATAATTTAACTGAAATTCTGTTATGCAAATTGCATGCCATTCGTTGAACAACAGGCCCCACCACAAGGATATTCAGTGAAGGAAGCTGGCATACCTGAGCCAAGGAACACTAGAATGTTCTCTGTCCGGACTTAGCCACTTTTTACCCACTTCTTTTTCTCACCTGAAATGTAAAACATTCCCCCGGAACAGCTATGCCAGATGTAATAAGCAAATACATGTTCCTTGTCCTGTCCGCTCAGAATTGCCTACATGGGAATATGGGACAGTATATTTGAAAAGAATTTAATTTTTGAGTTTATCCAGGCGTATGACCCAGAGAATAAAGCAAACAGGAACTCTGGCTGCTTGCTTCTTATACCGACAACCTCAAAATATCCACAGAGTTTATTTAGAACCTTCTAACTTGATAGTATTATGACGAATTAGCTTCTCTTATACACCTTCTATGAGGACAAAACAGTGTCCTTCCTGAAGAACTGGACCATTCTAGCATGTAGACAACAACTCTTCTAGACATGTGGATAGACCTAACAATAGATCTCAGTAAAACTGGCTTCCGAAAGTGCTCAAAATACGGCAAATAGTAGGATACAAATAATTATTACATTTGAGAAACAATCACATTGTTTTCCGTTGGAAATATATACGCAGTCCGTGAAACTTGATTTGGAAGGCTAAATGCTAATCACTCGGTAATTTAACCATGAACTGATGAGATGTTATCAAAAATACACACCTCTAGTCATTTCACATATGAAAAATGATGTTGGCAATGATGATTTCTATTTCTCAACAGTTTTACTAAAAAGAGGAATGTGCATTTACTGGAGTTTAGTTTGTATAACTGGTGGGAAAAACATCCACTTTTGTAAGAATTCAGTTTCATTTGTCAATGTCCTTAATTCGTTGTGGGACCGCTTTCAGATGTAACACTCTTGAGTAACGGTGGTTAAGTGTGAGCTTTTAGAAAATTTGTTTACCTCAATGCTACTTTCAATTACAGAGGTTTAGTTTGCAGTCTTTACGTTTATAATACCCACACAAATAAAATTTTACTTAGTATTAAAATGGATATATATCAATCGAGGCCATCATCTGCCTCCTTCATAGGTAGATGAATTTTTCTATTTCACATATACAGACACAGAATACACACTGACACATCGGGACACCTGAATAAAACCTGGTCCGATTGAACCACCTCAAAGACATTGGGCGAAATGATAGAGCAATTCTACCCAGGCAAGAACTAGAACTCTCTGCCTCTAAAAATTGAGGCAGAGCTTGCAAGCATTTAAGATAAGTTCTTTGTTATTTTGCTCCGTCGATGTTGGAAGAAAAATGATAGGGGCCAAGGGCACAGGCTGAGTCAGACACGTCTGTGCGCCCCGGGCTGCTTCACCATCTGGACAGACACTTCCCTGCCCTGAATCTACAAAGTGATTTTGTTTAGATGTCTGTCTTGGTGGGATGCTGCCCAATCGGACGCTTAAATCCTAATCATTGAAAACGCAGCCCTGGTGACTCCATGCACGTCGTCCCTGTTTGCTAAGTGTGGACAGACTGGCGAGGTTTCTAACAACCATGTGTGAGGGGCTCATGAGAAGGAGTTCATCATGCTTAAAGAGAAACAAAGGAAACACTTGCTCCATCACATGTCTGTATATGACAATCTAGAACCCAGCCAGCAGTGTGCCAGGCTTCCAGGCTGAGGGCACAGGGTCCAGGAAGAGATCTGGGTCTCTAATGGCACTACCTGCTGCTGAGTTAATCAACTCGTCATGCTCCCTGTTCGGGGATTTCGCATATTAAGTACTACATTTTCCTGATTCTTTAAGCCAATTTGCTACACGATTAGACGTTGATGCACCCAGAGATGTCCCAACTAGCTCTGCTAGCTAGAGGATGTTTACAGTCCTGCAATTAGACTTTCTGTACCGAACAGTTTTGAACATGCTTTCAGAATTTTTCCACGTGTCCACATTTTTAGAACTATAATGTAAAGACAGAAAAAGGTCAGCACCCGCAGCTGGGAAAAACAGACTTATTCACTAAGAGTCTTCTTTTTTTTTTTTTT